CTGATGGTGGAACATCTTTCTACAGCTGATGGTGGAACATCTTCCCTGAAATCGGGCCAGCACAGACTACAGGACGTGGTGATTAAAAGTTAAAGCAGAATTACGCCACGCACAACCGGGCTGACTAAAAGCTACTGAAACGCTCCACAAAAGTCTGACGGCGTCAAAATGGCAAAAGGTTCATGCTGTGTAACTGGCCTGGACGTGCTCCGATCTGGCCGGACCAGAGTCCCGCCCAGAACCCCGACGTTCACGACGGCCGACAATTGTACGGCGAGGACCCGACCGTCGTACGGCGAGGACCATCGCTGCTCACAGCTTTAATGACATTTGATCTGATTTAAATGCAGTCAAACGGTGTTATTTTACCATAAAACACTGGAAAGAAGTGATTAGATTTCGACAGACATGGACGTTGACGTGGACGTTATTAATGTTGTGTGTAGTTTAACCCAGAGGGAGGGTCAACAGCGACGAGTACGCCGTCTCTGAATGTGTCTACGTAACAACGAGAGGCTGGACAGAGTCGGGGGACTGAGGGGATGAGGCTTCGTCTGGTTCTCACCCTTGCAGCAGGTTGCAGCTCTGCACACAGCGCCCCCTGCGGTCCAAGTGGCGGCAGAACACACACATGGAGGGTCCGGGCCCCCAGCAGCCCACCTCCGTGCACTGCTGGTCACAGGTTCGGTTCTGCTGCTCTGCACCACACAGACACAAACGCTGCCTCACTTGGAACAGAAAGCCGTCAAATGAACACAGACAGAATTAAGCAGAGCTGAATCAGCTCAGTGGGCCTGACAGCACTTATAAAGACCTACATCCTCCAGAAATTCTTCAAAATAACAAGAACTGACCAAAAATGATTCAGAAACACATCGTGTCCAGAATAACTTGGGATCCAGCTGAGTGGAAACATCTGGGAAATGGAGATCCATGTGTGTTCATAACAAAGTGACGGATTCATCTGGTACCGGCACCATGAATGTGGACTTACCGCAGAGGTCCAGCAGGCTGTTGTTGCGCATGCTGACGTTCTGGTCGCTGGACCTGAAGACTCGGGTCCACTGGTCCCTGCCGGTGTAGCACAGCTGCAGGTTGTCCTTCAGAACCACCTTCCCGGCGCTGATCTCCTTCAGAGAGCGCAGGCCGAGCCAGCGGAGGTTCTTCAACTTCACCAGCACCAGGCTGTACTGCCTGCAGAGGAGCAGCAGGTCAGAGCCAGGACCAGCAGAACCAGCAGCAGTGCGGTTCTGGTGGCTGGAGGCGGGTTTGTCGCCCACAGATTGTCTTTATACAGCTACAAGGCAGGAAAACAGAATGTTTGCACTACTAAGGACTAAATCCCTCCTCTGGCCTCTGCTGCAGATTAATAACAACAGAAATCATTTAAAAAGTGCAAACAAAGTCCAAACAACTGCAAAAAAAAAACAAGGTCCAGTAACTAGAAATCATGGTTCTGATCTGATGGAAGCTGTTCTGTCTGAGTCACCACATTTCACATCTGTTGATTTGAACACATGAAATTCCCAAAAATGTAGCCAGAACATCTCACCAAAGTTAGGTTTGGGCGCCGAATAACTAACAAGTTAACCGAGTCGGTTCTGTTCATCAGTCCAGAAGTCTCTGGTTCTGAGTCACTGAAAACATGCTGACTGTGGTGTCATGGACTCACGAGTATGTTGACCTTCCTCTGATAATCTCCAGGTTCTCGAACACCGACAGAGACGTCAGGTTCTTGGGCCAGGACTGGATCAGCAGGTAACCTGGACGACACAAACACCAAAATGAAGAAAGTGCACACGGCTTCCAGAAACAGCATTTCATGTTTGGAACTCATCAGAACCTGTGATTTCTTTCACCGTCCTGAAGTACTCCAGCTTCTGCGGGTCCATGGGCGGGATGTTATAGTGCGGGTCCCTGGAAGAGCCAATCAGAATAAGCCTTACTCTCACGTGATGACATCAAAGCCAATCACACTGTTTCATTAGGTAGAGTTAGCATCTGTTAGCTCCTATTGATTTCTGGTATGTAGAGTTAGCACCTGTTAGCGCCTATTGATATCTGGTGGGTAGAGTTAGCATCTGCTAGCATCTGTTGAGTTCTGGTATAAGGTTTTGTGGAACTACGTTCTACTGGGTCAATGTCAGTCTGATCTCACCCAGTGAAGGAGATTTCGAGGAGGATGATGTTCCCGTTGATTTTTGTGCAGCTCCTGAAGGACTCCAGGTTGGAGTCATTTACCGCGATGGTGTTGATCAGCGAACCGACTCCGACTCCGTCACAAGCTACAGGACAGAGCAGAGGTTAGGACAGGTGTGTTCCTACCTTTAGGACAGGTGTGTTCCTACCTTTAGGACAGGTGTGTTCCTACC